TACGATATTTAAAAAAAAAAACTATAGATTAAAGACTGTCGAGAAATATGAAACTATGGAACCAGGAGAAAGTGAATCGTTGATTTACATGGATACTCGGCGTGCACCCAATGGGCGGGCAGCTCGGGCGAAGGTATCTTCCAGGTGATGTTGCCGACAAGTTGCTCGTTAATGGGATCGTCGGTGAAGCTGTAAGTAAAGTTCATGGTAACCTCGGCGCTCTCCGGTGAAATGGACAGTTCGGCCCGCATACATCTGTACGCGAGTGCCTCCTCCGAGCTCGCATAGTATTGCACTATGTACCACGATCCGAGAAACTACAAGAAACAGGTATACGTGTCACAACTATTTTTTATGTCAAAAGCAGCACGAGAATTTTATCCTAAATATAATAAATTTAAATACATGTACGAAAATTTAAATTTATTACAAATTTTTTCTGATCGCTAACAAAATAAGTTTAGCACTTGTATTTTATTATGCCTAAAATGAAGAAACAATTTTTGTGAACAGTTTAACACATTCTCGACGATTCTATAGTTGTAAAGTACGATATGTAAATCCTTTATGCGCCGTAGCGTGTCTTCACGGCTAATCTGCAGAGTCGCTCGCGCCTGATACTTTTCTCGTTGTTCGCGTTGTAATGTTAATCGAGATGCAGGCGCTGGTAATGGACCTGCTCTGTTAAGGACGAGAACCCCGAGATCCCGTACATGAAATGCTTAAAGTATTTTAGCATAAGTAAATACGTCTACGTTTATTTGGTTTAGCATACTTGCAGGTATTTGATTTAATATCATTCGATTCTTTTAGTTTATTAATATTTACAGAGAATTCCAATTTGTTTACAGCATTCGAAATATTTATTAATCAATCGTGTCGCACCTAAAGATAGATTAGTATTAAAAATAGCGTGCAGGTTCCGGGCGATCGCGATAAACGGTCCCATTTTCAAGAATGATTTATGCAAGAGTGGCAAATTCGGTATCGTGGTTCCGTACAAATACTACAGAGTGGTTCATCGGTGTTTACGTGAGGCAGGTCGTGCAGAACTGTCGTTCTGTTTCAACATGCAATGCAAAATTGTCCTCCTTTCTCTCTGTCACGCATTTGTCCCTTTCGCGACGATTCATCTCTGTCTCGATTATTATCGCTACACGTTGATAATATGCCGGTAGACAATAAACGAAAATTCACGGAATTTCATCTGGTCGGTGAAAACTTGCTCTCAACCAACATATTTACCAGTGATTTTAAAAATTATTTTCTTTTAATGTAAAGAAAAAATTGTGATAAATAGAGCATGAAATTTGTTCAAAGTTCATTTGATGAATATTCTAGAACTTATCAAGAAAAGTGTAAAAAAATTGAAACTTGTTGACAGTTGAATATTTTTAGAGATGATCTGCTTATAACGCTGGAATGAGTAAAAATCGTGGTCGATATCGAACTTGCGAAAGCTCAGATGAATAATGAAAATAAACTCTCTAGCATCAAAATGTGGTTCTAAGCTCCGGCTATTTTAAGTTAAGTGGTCACTAAGGAAAATACTAACGCGTAGCGTTAATGTCATCGTTTATATGTAGCCTACTGTTTCCCAAAGCGAAGAGATTGGCTGTTCCCGTTATCAGTTCCGGTTAAAGGTTCTTACGAAAAATTACTTTAGATATATACGAACTGTACCTACACAGGCAAAATCAACAGTTTACTGTTTGTATTATTCTATTCCTTCCACATTAAATGACATTTAATTATTATTAAAAAAATTTTAACACATAATTTCAAAACATAATTACATACAGTCCATTTATTTGTACAATTCATTAATTCTGGACTAATAATCATAATGACTAACCCAGTTTAACACAGTTATGGTAGTACACGAACGAAATCGTAATCTAAATAAAAGCGTCGAAGTTAAGTTGATAATCTCAAGTTGATAACTCGATCCAGACAAAGGTTAAAGAAGAGCAAATGCAGTTTTATACGTGCACGAAGTATATCCGAAATAGCCTTCCCTTAAACACATAAAGTTCCAAAAATAAATTGGCTGAAGGTTTCCATTGGAAGAAGCCTCTGCAATATTTTATGCGAATCCGAATCTCTGACTACCACAAGCTATATACACATGTGATACATAAACGTATTCGAACAATTTTATGAATGTATACCCTTTTTTTCCGATATACCCGAATTCCGAAAATACTGTCTAATACATTTTTAAAAGCATTAATTGTAACATTAAAAGAGCTTTTCTCATCAATTATTAAATTCTAAATACATACGACAAAAATAGGAAGTGCAATAAAACGTCATTCGACTCGATTGATTAGATCAGCATCAATTATTCGAGGGAATAGCAAACGTGATGTGTCTTTCATAGATAATTCGGTGTAACTGAAACGAGATACCGAATGTCAGAAGGAAATTGTAATTTCAGTTATCGTATTCGATAAAACGGATAAGTGTATTCATCAAACGAACTCACTGCTACTCTGATACTCTCACCACTTATTATTGTATATGCGTGCACACCGTTCGGAAATTCGTGTAATCAGAATATCAATAAGCGATAAGTAATTCGATGTCCAAGTAATTAGAGGGAATTCATCAATCCACAAGTGACCGTTAATAGAATTAATATAACGTAATAACGACGCGTTTGACAGAGCTTTCGCCGCAAATACGAGAACGTTCCATCGAAATTCTTACGTTATCAAATTAATAATACATGATCATAGTCAGAAAATTTAATCTGTGTGTTACTTTTCATATACGTAGATTCTGACTTGTTTCGTACATAACATAATTCTAATGCCAATTTATAAACCATTTGCAATCGAATTGCACAACAGATCTGTAGAACAAACAGATCGATGGAACAACATTCGGTGTACAGTTTGAGAAACCGCATTTGACTAGAGTTCCACTAACAATGTGGTCGCAAAGCAGGAGTAGAACTTCCGGTTAACTAAGTATTGACAATTAAACGACGTACCTCGGATATATCAAAATTTCGAATGCCCTTCACTTTGGGGCACTTAGTCTTGTCCTCCCGTCTCTTCCACGTAGCAGAGGAGACGTCCAGTAAGCACAGGGACAGCAGTAGCACTACTATAGGCGTATAAAGTCTCGTTCTGGGCTGCATTCTCTCGATTACGTTCAAGCATCTATCCCGGTTGGCGCACACGCGGAACTTACATACGCTTCTTCTCCCGGTAAGTTTGCCTGGCCGACTAAAGGCCACCGAGTCGGTCAGAATGAAGAGCGGTCGCCGGCGCTCGTGACTACCACTATCTGCACAAACAGAAGAGGGGGTGGTAGTAGTCACTACTATCACGTTCCTCCCTTTGCATTCTTGATACTCTTTCGTTTTCAATCGGCAAATTGTTCCGGACGACGACGACGACGACGACGACGACGACCCGGTCCGTGCGCGCGTAGAGATCCTCGTAACTGGCGCCGGAGCCTAGCCAGGCTCAGGACTCCCGGTCGTAGGCGTAATATCGTCGTCACGGCTAAAGAAGGGCATCGACTGTTAGAGAGAGTATGTATGTATGTATGTATACCTCGTCCCGTTCGCTCGTATCTTCCCGGTTTTTTACAGTCCCGCGCCGTACATCGCTCCGAGACGTTACCGCGTTCAAGGTAAACGCGGATAATATTCGACTTATGCAGCTTTACGTCCGTTCCCGGTGATCGATATATACGTTGAACTGGTTCCGAATGGATTAATAATACAATGCGATCTAATGCTGGATACAAATATAGCACCGTATTGCTAATAGTACGAGACACTTTCTACGATCGGAAGGAATCGACTTGAATTAATGATTCTGTAAAATAAAGCTTAGATAGAAACTGCATATAAATGATTTATTATCATCTATATTAAGTTTTTATAATACGTTTGTAATCGTATTTTGAGAGTCTGTAATTGTCAATTGAAGCGGTAAGGAATTCATTACGCGTACAAAATGTATCATCGGCCGTGCTTTTGATGTTCGTTGGAACGGACGTGCCGCAATTAACGTACGTATAAATTGATATGGTCTTAATTAATATGCGCCTTCGGACTCGTATACCGCACATGTTCTTTCCCCCCGCGATCGTTATTCAAGAACCGTTGCTGATAAGCGATTCAGTAACAGTTTTCTGAATAACTTCGACATACCGTCTCGTCGTACGAAAGACGTGTTCGAAATTAAAGATTTATCAGTTTCGTGATTCATTGTAGATGATGCGACACCACAAGCATTTCTCCTTGTATTTGTTTTGATCCATTGTTCACGCTGGAAATGTCATGTCGGTTTTGGTCCCAAAAAAGGTCCGGTTGCCGAGGTAGGCGTGAGTAATAGAATTATTGGAAAACTGTATTATTCGTGTGGATAATCCTGGACTCTCCCTTAATAGACACGATGACTAATACACTTCGAGCTCGGGGGAATTATCATAATCGCCTTTTACAGTAGCAAATATTTGAAATTTATTTTTCAACAAATATTTTTCTTTAATAGACAATCACGTACTTTCAGATTTATGGTATCAATGTTATCGTTCAAAACAATTTTAAACGGACGTCCATAAATTAACACCGATCGGACGAAACAGATAAGCCTTATCGCTCGCATTATATTTCTTTATCGTACATCCTTTTCCTCTGAATAGCAGTAGCTCGCGTGAAATGATTAACTTCGGAAAGATTGTTCTTTAGGGAAAAGAGATCGTAGAGTAATTAAAAATTGACATTTATTTTCATCTTGTACATATAAAATATATTTCATTCCAATAAAAAACATTTATTGTACATAATTCGAATTATTGTTAATTAGACGCACTGTATAGAAAATGTAACGCAATCCACTTCATCGACACCGTAATCATCTATATAATTGTTAATACAATGTCATTTCCATGGTGGTTTCATTTTTTGTTGATCCCCTTTCGTACAGACTTTTTGTGGTATTGACATAAAATCACTGGTATCTTGCGTGGTCTGAGGAAAAATAAACAAACGGGATTTGACACACGAATTTGATACAAGAATTAAAAGAATAAATTAATTCAAGTGCCTACTTGACTTATTTCTGGCGTAGCTTGCCACGCGATACTATCTTCGTCTTTAACACTCGGCTCCTTCTTCAAATAATGCTTTCTTGGTATTTCTCTGCACACTAAAGGCGGACTCGAAATACTTTCCCGAAATCTGGTCAACTCTTTCACTTGCTGCATCTCGGCAATCTGCAATTTTTATTCAGTTTCTAAACTGAGTTCATTTTATGAATCAAACAGAACTTACCATTCTCACATATTTTCGAAGGTCGTCTCTTGACTCTTTCCTACTAGTTAAAGGAGTATCATCCATCGACATCATAGCACTTGCAAAGCGATCGTTCTCATCACGAAAATGTTTTATATCTGACGTATGCGAAGATAATTTGATTGGTTCCTGAAACGCCCTTGAACAGTTTGGCATCGATTCAGACTTCCTTGGACACCTTGATTCGAACAACTTCTCGGCATGTATTTTTTGAAGAGGTGTCAAATTTTCCATGTTTCCATCTACGAAATTCATGATGAATAAAATTAACTCAAATGATAAAATGTGACGCGTTTCATAATTCTACCTGATATGATGTGTAAAGCTTGTTGCCATTGCTTCTGCATCACTGAATGAAGTTGTTCCGCAAGCTGAGATTTGGTAACACGTTGAGTATTAAGTTGCGATTCCAAAAAGGACGCCTTCTGTAGAGTTTCGGCTAGCTGCAGTTCGCATAATCGCTTTTCCTCCTTATGTTTTTCTTCTAGTAAATTTATTTCTAATCGATGTCTGTGCAGGTAATTTATTTTTAATTACATAATAAAAACACGCTCAAACAAGATACATACTTATCTATAATATCCTTAATTTTCCTAGCTGCGCATTCAGCGATAACTTGTTGCCTATTTTTTAATTCCTCGACGAATTCGGACTCAGCGGCATCGAGCTGTGTTTGAAATTCTTGTAACTTCACTTTCACTACTTCGTCGACTTGTTTTTGGTAGATATCTTGCAATTCGGCCCTGATTTTTTCTTTTTGTTCAGCAAGAAATTTCGTTTCATCCCTAGCTACTTTCTAAAAATTAAAATTGAAATTAATATTTCTTTTTCAAGCAAAGAGTTATCAATGATTCTATACCTCTGCCTTCTTGGCATCGTCGAGAGCTGAAAGCAGCGAGATGTTTTTCTGCTCCAAGATCGCATTCCTGTTGTTCTCTTCCTTCAATTTCAATTGTAAGTTTTCCTTCTCCTGTCTAAGTACTATTAATTCCGCTTCACAAGTATCTAACGCTTTATGTATAACATCCATCTCATTCCGGACTTCTCCGCCTTTTAATCGTTCTTTACCTAACTCTTGCTGAAGAGACTTCAACGTCTCCTCAGTTTGTTTATTTTTTTCCAATAATTTATTGCGCTCTGCCTTCAACTTTTCGCATCGGCTTTCTGCTTCTTGGACAAACGATTTGTAATTCTCCAATTCATCAGCGTGAATTTTTAACAATTCTACCTTCTCTTTCATCGCAGTGTCATTTTTCTCTTTGTATCCTGCAGCGAGATCCAAAGCCTTCGACAATTCACCTTCGGATCGTTTGATCTGTGACTGAAACTCCGAAATCTCCGACTGATGCTTCTCCGTTACGTTTTTAAGATTTGTCTGTAAACTGCTACATTCGTTTTCTAATATATAAACCCGTTGCTTCAATTTCAACCACCCATTGTGAAACTGTGCTATTAATTCATTTTTTTCATTATCCACCCTGAGCGCCACTGCAACTTTTTCCTGCTGCTCTAACAATCGCTTCTGTAGCTCTTGAATTAAATGCTCGCAATGCTACAAAATTAATTATATTATTTATTTTGAAATTACACAAAACAGTGATATTAATAATCGTGTACCTCTCGTCGGAACTTCTCTTCTTCTAATTTGATCCTATGTATTTCTTCTTGCGTTTTGTTCCCATTATTTTCCCAAAAATCTGATAACGATAAAATTCGCGATTTCCTATGATAAAAAAAGTAGTTTGAGCATCAATTATATGCAAGACATTCATAATGACAGTACCTCGGTAAAAATTCTGTATTTGTCGAAGCATGAGCCATTCTTTTGGTAAACGGCGAGTCATGTGCTTGATTTACATATTGCATATTCCCGTTCTGTTGCAAAATTCTGTAGGGATCTAGTAAATAAGTATTACATTCTACGCTATTTGTTGATGACGTAGTATTGTACTGTGTCGATTCGCTATGTGAGGGAGCGTTCAACTTTTTTTGTAGAGGATCTGTTTGAGTATTGTGTGTATTTACTGAATGTATATTATTTACATCGTCTGCACTCGTAGTTTGCTGAGTACCAGACTCCTTCTGTTCACTTGTTTTTACACTTGATTTGTCAGTACTGTCTAAATTCCTTGGACTATCAGCTTCTCCAGTCTTCGAAGCTTGGCTTTCCATACTCCTCTGCCACGTTTTGAATTCTGAGATCATTTTATCAGTCTCGTTCATATGGAATGAATCATTATATGGTAAAGATATGTCGGCAAAAGCATCGGACTTCTTTTTCGATGCAACTAATGAAATATCATGGTTCGATTTCTGCGGTTCAAATTCTAGCCTTCGATTAATAGAATGCTTATACATGTAGTCCTTGTTCCTAAGACCATCACCCATATCATTAGATAATACTGCGGTCTGTTCCTTCAAACAATTGTGCGTGGAGATTCTGTTTATTCTCTTTGATAATTCCAACTCGGTAACTTCCATCTCCTGAAGCAGCTCGTCAACCTCGGATAGCTCCATTTCTTGCATACTAGTTTTCGAGATGGATTGTGGTTGCTCCGTCACGCTAAGTAAAGTCGAGGTAGACGGCATTGAACGCAATTGATTGAAAGGATGCTTAATGTACATATCATTTGCGTTTTGATTATAATTAACTGGACAAGAATGAAGTTCCCTTCCAGAGGAGCTAACATGCGGGAAACCCACATTGCAAGCGATAGGTACCACCACAGAGGATTTAGATGTTAGAAAATCATGCTTGTTCCTGTCACGTTCGTTAGTCGCATTAGTACCCATAGACATAGGAAAATTACCACCCAATTTCATGTCGCTCTGTCGACAATTAATACGTTTTGGCAATGTATGACCATTTGGGGTCGACGGAACGGACAAGGATTGACAAGGTTTCACAGGTGTACTTTGTAAGCTACAGTTCTCGCTTACACAGAATCTAGTTCTAGGTAACGTCTGCCTCGCAGTCGAACTAATTTGGATCTGTGATTCCAACGAGTGATTTAAGAAAGTGGCGTCTAAGCTGTTATCTTTAGACTCAATAGCAGAGATTCTGCTCTCTAACGTTTGCATATGTCCCACCAGTTCCGATATCACTCCAGCCTTTTTACTATCGCAGCCTGGTCTCGCCTGATCGCAACTAACATCGGACTCTGAGGACGACGAGACGAGGAACAGATCAGGCGGAATCAAAAGCAAGACGTCCGTATCATCAGAATCACTCATCATCCATTTGAATTTCCTCCCACCAAAAGCAAATCAAATCCAGTTATCATGTACTCCCACCGATGTTATATGTACACAGTATTTACACGATATTTTATACATCCCTCGAAAGGCAGTAAGCAGTGTAAACAAAAGATTGAAACCGGTACCTGGTCCATTCAGTATCAAAAGTAGAATAGAAATCTCAGAGGTACGAACGATCTGTAATTATTTCTAAACAATTTCCAGTCATCATTCGCTTCTCGTTAATATAACTACATTATAATACAGTTCGTTTTTAAAAACTAGTTACACCTAACCACACTCATCTCTACTGCAACCAAATGCAACTGACTTGACTGACTGCTGTTGCTGACGCTGACTATGAGACAGTCCTACTCTAATACTATCGGTAGATGGCAGTACACAGGACTTAAAACTCTTTTTAAATTGTAATCTGTGATAAATAAAGAATTATTGACAATGAAACATCGAAAATGCTTAAAATAAAAGTTGTTTTCCAATACATCCTTGAGATATTCAATAAGAAGTATGCAAAAGTAATAATTATAGGACATGTAGACAATGTAGACAGTTGCAAGTCATTTACAGTTCAATAAAGAAATGTCAAAATTACGTATTAAAATATTAGAAATTATGCGTTAAAAGTGCACAATTTTACAGTAATTATCATTTTTCCTAAAAGTTTGTTGCTTCAAATAGTGGACACGGAATTTTATTACATGTTTCTAACTTTTAATTAATTATTTTTTTTTAAAAAACTAACTTTTAATTAATTAGACATCATGCATTAAAAATATACTTCAATTTCCAATAAGAGCTATCTGTTCCACTCACTAAAAAATATATAAATAATAAAGGAATCGCGCGTTGAATAAATTTTTTAAAAGATTTTTGAATGTTCATTTTATTGCGGTAAATATTGTATGGAATCTCTTGAAACCCTTGCAAGCGCTGAAGAAATCGTCTACGCTATTTGTTTCCCATTCGAGAGCGATAATCATCATGTTCCGTGCGTACAGCGAAAACGTCAGAAATGCACCCTCGGAAAAGCACAGATCGCGCGGTTCTCGGTATTCGAGAATGAACTCCGAACCCATCCCGAGATTCGTTATATGGAACGGGATTTCGAAGCTGCACGGAATATTACTTTGCGATTACATAGGTATCGCGTTATCGGTATCGCGATACGAATCGCACCGTTCCGAGCGGAACGGCTTCCTCCTCCTGGCCTGTTGATACCCTAACACCTATTAACCTTATTCGAAGCGGCTAAACTGCAGCCATAGTAAAGGGCGAAACAATTCTTTATCTCTGTTCCTTTTTTCCGTTTTCCTAAACAAACCGATTCAGGCCGCAGAACGTGAGGGATAACGTTATCGCAGATGGAACGCGCGTAGCTACGATCGATTTACACGATTAACGAGTACAGTTAACGAGTTTTGTATCAAATACATTCGATTGTAGTTCTCGTTGCTTGTTAAAGTCTACTTTCTGTTTGGTTCTCTTATAATTGTAACGATGCCTACGCGATAACGAGTTCTCTTGATTTCCAGTTTTCTTTTCATCTTCCTTTCCATACCCGATGTGGACGCTGATGAAATCAAATACTTATTCCAACGCCGATGTATGTACGCTAAATATAGTTTGCGCATGTATATTTACACAGTTTCATGTTCTCTTCCGTTCTCCTGACATCGTTCTTATTTAATCGTCCATTAACGGATCGATCGTTAAACAACCATAGCGCACTTCTTTCTATAGCGACACGAAGGTATGATTGATCTAATCAAATGAATTACGTTTCTTCAAAATGACGTTGTCAAATTCAGAAAATTGGAAATAAACATAATTTTATGAGCGTAAAAAGGTTCTAATAAAACAGAAGGTTTTGTTGATTAAACTTTTATTGAAATAAGATTGTTCGACAGACGGTTAGAGATTTTGTATTGAAATAAGATTGTTCGACAGACGGTTTTAAGATTGTTCTAATTTTATATTTTACAATAATTACTGTGTTCTCCATTAGTTATTTTTAATCGGGATAGGCTGCGTTCTGTAATTTATAAACAGCTGAGCGAAACATTCAAATATTTTCTCAACCTCAAAGCTCACTTTAAGCACGCAACAATGGATATTTTCAATTCCATCTGTTTACCAGAGTACAAACTTAATGCTTCGATTAATAGACGCGACCTCCATCTATCTATTATTCCGTTTTCTTAATCCCAACTCCAGATTTCTTTGTTGCCAGTTTATTTCTAGAACAATGCACGTCAATTAGTCAAAGGAACAGGAAGCTTTTATAGTATAAAAGCGTAGGATTCCAAAGACAATGTGCTATTTTCACCAAGATTCGATGGTTCAACGTAACGCTTACCGAAACAGAGTGTCTATTTTATAGTTAGTAAAGTGCGTACACACACTTGACCCAGTTATCTTGAGAACCGAACTATTCTTTTCAGACCAATGTCCCATATTTCAAACCCACATTACGTACATCTCTAATAAATGAATGCGAAATCATGTTCAGGATACTAACAAATATTTTTAGAATCCGATTAATTTTTTTCTGTAATTAGAAGGAGGAATCCACGGAATTAGCAGACGCTACGAAATTTGTCGTGGAGGATCGCTAGGCTTGAGTACTTTTTGATCCGCGACAATGTGCAGTAGTCAGCAGGACGATGAAACGTGGACGGGGTTAGAGGGAGGAACGAGTTCGAAAGTACAATCAATAAGTTCGTTGGCTGATCTTCTTTTTCCGGGGATAACTACCACTCCGTTTCCTGCTGGACGAGCAGTCTACCAGAAGTGACCCCGGTGCCAGGAATCTTCCGAACAGCCGATCAATAACCTGGGCTAGATATAGAGAACATTGACAACGCCGTGGGAGCTGATAACTAATAACTCGGGCCTAACGGGGTCGATTCCTGTTGAAAGGGGTTGGGAAAGAGGGACGGCGAAGAAAGCAAATTTAACCCCTTATACTCCATCGGACGTCCGATTGGATGACCAACGGAGCAGTTCTACTCTCGGTCACTGAAACCGAATACGTACTTCGCTCCTTCCCATTGTCTACACCTATAGTAGTTATAAAGAACGTATCGCTGTTTTCATATCTTCTTAACATTTTGTATATACGGAGAACTAGCGCTGCGCACAGTACAATGTTATTCATACCGTTTATTGGAGCGTGTTTATGAAAAACATTGCTCTAACGAGAGCGCCCGACAAATTATATCGTATTTTGTACGCGACTATATTATTATAACGTATAATAAATTAACTGATGTGAGACGTATTAATTTTCTGCGAGAAATGTTTAAAAGAGTAAATTGTTTCGGCGTTATTCAGAAATTAAACGTCGATTCGTACGATTTCATAATGGCAGAACACGTGGTGAAAGCTGGATTTTCCGGAATCATATAATTCGATCTTCGAGGGAGGACGGGGCCGATCTGTTTCACTTCCGTGACTTACAGTACGCGGGGTGAAACGCGGATATTAATTGAGAATTAATTGCGCCTTTGGATTTTACGTAAGCGTAAAAGATTAAATTGGCATAGGTAATGACAGCCAATCCTCGGCTTGCTTGTAAAATATAAAGTTTCATTTGAAACTGGTAGAATTATAATAAAGTCTTGAGTATTATCAAAGTTGAGATACTGAAACTTTTTATGGCATCATTATTCGGATAACTGGAACCATGAAGAAAAATATTAAAAGTCGACCGGCAATGGAATAACTTCAAAAGGTAAATTATAAATGTTCCATTTAAATGACTTTGTAATACCTGATATTTCGTCTGTCTGACGAATACAAACGTTTAATTAAAACACTCTCTTTTCTCGTTAGTATCAGGCTCTCGGACACGAACGCTCTCGTACGTACGTACCTGGTATGTATAATGGCAGACATATCCGGGGGACACGCGAACATTATGCACGATACAAAGTAGGTTTTTGGGTGGCGTGATAGATAGTCGTGTAACTACGCGAAAAGGGCGTTATCGAGGGGCTGCGTTAGGCAAGGCTCTTGACACCACTGAAAGATAACCAGCAGCCGAATAGCCCCGAGTCTGACGGGCCGCCAACCGGATGAAACTTAGATCACTTCCCTGCCGTCCGCGAAGATAAACTCCCCGAGATAAACTCGAGGATCTTCGAAAACCGCGGCAAGACCGATGGCTATGCTGTCTCTGCAGTGCATCGAGACCCGATTCTCCGTTTCGCCGTCTTCCGATCCCCAGCCTCGAGCCCCTTCCGCCGCGCCGTGGCCTCCTAGCTCTTTCACCCCTTGCCTCGTGTCCTCTGTTCTCGTCTCCAGACGGCATCCGTATCTCTTCAGATGCATTCATCCGGAGCATTTGCGGTATATCGTTCTGTTCCGCGTCAGCCTTATCCAGTCGTGAAAACTTTCCTCGCTCCCTCTCGGTTACTTTATTGTATTTATTGCAGCGATGCAACTTGGCAAGTGCAACTACGTATGTATAACTCAAACGAACTGAATCATTCCCAAAATCGATCTTCGTCATTTAATTATTCATCAGTTTAAACGAATTTATACCTTTTCATTTACCGCAAATTACATTTGGACAGAACATTTTCTACAATTTGAATTTTGTACGCATTCATGAATGTTAGAAGTTGTATTCCCAGACCGGCGATGGCAGTGAACGTTGAACATCGATTACGTTAATTGGCGGGCTGCGTTCGTTGCGGATACGTATTATATGAACGGAGACCGCAACGGCATAAGCAAGCAAATTCATGGCTATGTACGTGTACATCAACGCGTTAAATAATCCGTTTAACGAACGACGCGACTCAACGAGGGTTCACATTTTGATTTAAACGATCCTAGTTTTATTGAGTCACGTGACGCTACCACGGTTTACCCTGGCTGCATCCGATTCCCGCGACATATTTCCCGGTCGTTATTAATTATTATTCGCCGCGGACGATGGCTTTCGAGGAAAAAACGCACGGTGTTATCAGTCTAGTAATCCGATACGCTTTTCATGGAGTTTTAATGACATGGTGGCAAAAGGAAGGAAAAAAACAATCTGGGGCAGAGAATAATGGAGCGGATGAAATTGATATCATACCTACACTCATGCGATTAAAAAGGGAGTATGCATACCTAGTCACATAGTTTTGATTGAGAAATTCAGTTTGAAAAGTTCAACGAATCATTATGAATTTCGGGCATACTAAATTAGACCGTTCGTGTATATCCGCGATGACAACGGGAAAGAAGCTTTAGCGACGGGAATCGCATTACAGTATTTTGCGGATCTGGTAATAATAATAATACTAATTTCCGGCGAATGTATCCATACGCTCACGAGCATCGGCTGACGTTTCGTACGCCGGCGTTCGGTAATAATAACGTGAATGGCGAGGATATCATACGTGTATGATAATTCTAGTGGGGATCTGGTGTTAACCGTTGATTATATTGGTATTGTTTCTTCCTCCTTTCGGACGAGTGGTGTGGTTCGAAATATTGAAGCACCCGGAGCGATAGGCGGACGTTAATTAGCGAATTATTGTTGTGAAAATCCTGTGAAGCACGCGTTTTGTATTATTCCATTTAAATGGAAATTATTAATATAATTTATTATTACATAATATATTAAAAAATAAATATATAAAAAATATAAATAAAAATATAACTCTTTGACGATGAAATTGACTCGAGTAGGCACCTATCTCGCAACGGAAAAACAATTACCGCCGCTGCGTACTTCAATTGTGTCGATATTGAAGTATTGTCTTTTTCATTTGAAGTATCGATACGATCAAACAACTCAGAATGCGAATTTTATAAAATTGAATTGTTGTATAGATATTGCCTCATTTGATTTGTAAATAACTTTAGGTAATCAAATATTCCTTTACAGATAATAGTGAAATGAAGCTTGAGCCACGTAGCTGTTTCTAATCCATTCTCTACATTCGAATTTGTCCTCACAGCCGTACTACTCATTTCGCAAAAACTAATTAACAGCATTCACGTAATTCACCGTAAAACGAAAATAATCCTCTACGGATTATTATTATCGAAATAGAAATCACGGTTTCGTTTAGCCGACTGAAAGAGGTTTAGCACGGTCCCGCTCGCCAATATCTTCGACAGTACTCTATACACGAAATTCCGGGAAGTTAATTCACGAAACGCGGCATTAAGTCGGAGAACGTCACGAGCCGATGTTTATTCAGCGTTAAAAGTGATTTTATGACTAGCTTCGGCGAGACAAAGGGGCGCGCCGGATAAAGGATCGATCGTTCTCAAGGCGTCGCGATTCGGAAATTTAATTCATCGCGATGCGACGCGCGAACAAGCTAGGCTTTATGGGCACCAGGTCCGCGAAGCGCATAACGCCGCGACGAGTACATAACGCTGACAAACAGAGCTGAATTCCAATATCGTCTCGCGGAACAGGCTGGTAAGAGAAAATCACGCGAACGCATTCTATACGAGATTTCTGCATAAGTAACATTTCGAATTCAGTATCTTACAGGGATGAAAAAGCCCATGTCCAATTATATTCACGTCTATAACGCGATTTGGTGAAATCCATTTGAAAGTTTTCTTATATTTTATTGAGTACTTTATAATTGATGAAGTCATTCATTTTCGATGACAATCAGATTTTATCAATCAATGTATTTTACGATATTTTGAATTTTTTTTGACGGTGAACAGAGGAGACTTGAAAGTGTTCTGAAATTTATGGACGAGACTGTACATACATATTCACGCCGCCTTCGTCAAGTTTAGTCATGCGTCAAATTTAAGCTTCCGATATATCGATAGAATCGAGCATTATCTACATATTATAGATTATGGAGTGCCACTGATACCATGTATCGTATTATATTAACTCTCTAGAATTCAAATCTCATATGTCCATCAGAATGACTATACTCAATAATTAAACCTATGTTTCTGTAATGTCATTAATAATGTTAACAGAAGCAAATAAAGTAAAATTATTAATGTTACACAAACAGCCTAATAAATATTAATAGTTGAGCATAGAATATATATATTTGTATTTGACTGAAGACAAATTATAAATCATAAAATATAATGATAAACAGTATGAATTTTGAATGACTGGAAACTTGCACATTGGATATAATTTATTGTAGTAGAACGTATAATTACTCCTACTGGCGAAGTTTATCGTACTTCGCAAACTAATATCGTACTTTGTAAACTAATATTTACCGTAATTTTATTTGTTCCTTTTCCGCGAACTGGAGTGGAACAAATAGAATTTCATTTTCGAGCGTTTCATTACAAACTTCGCTGCCTACTGTTAACCAGATAAAGGGGCTCGACAGTGAACTACCTTCTTCATTTTCATAGATATTAATCATTTTAAGGCGGTCTCGTAGGAATCTGATTCTTAGGCGCCCTAATATAATTAATATCACAAAGCGTTCATTTTAATTACAGATTATTCATTTTACACAATTTATGGTAAGACCATTTTTTAAGGAAAATAAATACAATACTTAAGATTTTTCTGAAATCGTTTTAATAAAAAGAAGTTATACACTTTCAAATTCGAAAGTCCGGTAAACCTCAATTTCGGGAAAAAAGTGTAAAATTTAAACTGCATCTGGGCAGTCTTTGAATCCTTCACGATAGAAGCCTCAAATAGGCGTCTCTATAGACTACGTCCAAATAGGTTTTTTCCCAATGCCGATGC